CAGCGGGTTTTATAGAAAACCGGGCTTTGCTTGGAGCAGCGTTCCCGAGCCGAAAAGCTCTTCTTCTCAGAGCCTTCGAGCACTCCGGGGCTTCCGCCTCGTGCTAGGGAGGTTCCCTAGGCTTTTCGGGGGATTTCGGGGCTAGAGAGAGGTTCTAGAGAGAGAGAGAGTAAAGAGAAGAAAGAATGGGAAAGGTGTGAAGAAAATGAGGGTGGGAGAGGTGGTATTTATAGGGTGAAATGTGGCTGAACTTGGTGCCACATGTCACCATCTGGTGGCAAGCCTTGGGGAGAAAGCAATGGCCAAGATTGTGCCACATCACCCATTTTCGCACAGCACACTTCCGACTTCTAAAATCCGTAACTTTCACATACGACCTCCGTTTTTGACGTTCTTTATATCCACGCGTAGGTAATAATAAGATCTACAACTTTCATTTTGACACCGTCAGCTAATTCTCGACCGATCTTAAATTTAACAGTACAAGGAGATTATACTGTTAAACGTCTGCGTAAAATTAATAACTTCTACATACGGACTCTGTTTTTGTCTGTCTTTTTACCGTTGATTTCCTATTAATGAGATCTTCAACTCTCATTTATGTTGCGTAAGCCAAAAACCGCTCGAACTAAAATTCGAGTTTCAGGCCGTGCACTGCTAAGCCGAATCTTAGAAAAATCATAACTTCTTCATACGAAGTCAGATTTGGGCGTTCTTTTTATCGATGTTCTTAGTTTAACATATTCTACGACTTTTTTTTAGATTGCTAAGGCTAAAAAGTCTTCTATCGTAAATTCACTATTTACGTCTCCCGGTGTCGTGCCGGTTTTGTCGTAAAACTTCGGCGGGCCATAACTTCTTCTTTATAGCTCGGATTTCGGCATTCTTTATATGCACGGAAACCTTGGGACATATTCTACAACTTTATGTAGAGATATCGGGATTATCTCACACTTTAATTTTGACGCTCATTTTTATTCTTTATTAATTATACATTTATAATTAAATAATAAACACATAAACACACATAATTCACATAATACTCAAATATTTCATATTTATTACTTCAAAAAGAGTTACAATAGTTGACCTAGACTATTATATTGACAAAAATGCTTAGCCCTGAAAACCCGGGCGTTACATATAAGCCCATAACTATAATTGGTATGTACTTAACCCGATAGTAGCATGGTCCTTTTAGGTTGCCTTCAACTGAGCAATTTGATAAGATGGATATTTGAGAAAGAGGTTATTTGTGATATATTAATATATTATAATAATAATATATTAATTGAGAAATCATATTATTTAATTGGGCCCCTCCCACTGCATCAGGCCCCGCTCGGCATAGGACCGAAGTCTAGAATAAACTACACATAACATAAACATGAACATATAACATAATCACATATACTGCATCGGGCTTGCCCAACATCGAACCGAAGTCCAGAACATATAACAAATATCATAAACATGCATGAATCACAAAGACATCACGCATACGTACTACTTCTCGGGACTACCCCGGCATCGGACTGAAGTCCGAAACTACTATCATCTAAACAGGTCGGCATTATGGTCGTAGACCCATTCCTACTGGAAGGAAACTCACCTCTCAACTAACTGCTGAATAACTTGTGCAAAGGTGACACCGTTGACTGCTCCAACTACTCCCCGACTATAATGACCAAATAAACATTTAGTCAGAAACTAATGGCTCTTCTATAGATGAAATGACTATTTTACCCCTTCGATTTAATTTGGACCATGACCTAGGCCCATTCCATTCTAGTCCTCACCAGGGCCCATTAAGTCCCCAAATGGCCTAATTTTCTAAATTGGGCCCAACTCTTCAAATGGGCTTTCCTTCCAAGCCCAAACCAATTGTTGTGCCCATAACTGGCTTCTAAAGACCCATCACGGCCCAACTACTGCTATGACCAAAGCTAGGCCCAAAACGAGGCCTAATAGCTTGAAACCCACTGATTGAGTGTACGTTGAGCGTACCCATCTGTACGTTGCGCGTACTGCTTGAATGGCTTGTACGTTGTGCGTACAGGCGTGTACGCCCAACGTACTCTCCTATTAAGCCATCTTTTCCAAAACAACTTAATCCCTTAAGACAGGATGTCCAACTTACAGATCTGAGTCTCATGCTTCGTCCTAGTCCTTAAAGTTGGTCATATGGTGGCCTGTAATCCACCAAATGAGCCCAATACTAAAAATGAAAATGAACTTCCAAAGAAAAAGTTAGATCTCTTGCATGGCTTCATAAGAGCCTCGAAGCTTGCAACTTTACTGCTAAAGGAACCCATTGAACTTCAAGGGTGGCAACCCTAAGCTCAAAACCGAATTTGCATGATCAAGATCCAATCTTTGGACCTAAAAAGGTCCAAATCTTCCAAAACCCTAGATCTAGACTTTGAGGAGGAAAGTTAGGAGCTTTATACCTCCTCTTGATGCTAAATGATGAGCTTAATCCAGATCCCTAAGCTCAAGGTACTCAAAGGCTTCTTCTCCAACCTCTCTTTCTCTTTTTCAAAGCTTTTCTTCACCAAAATGAGCTCAAAAAGGTCAAACACATACAACAATGGAGTAAGAGGCGTAATAGGGTTTTCCTGAGGGTGAGGTGGCTGGTAGGAAGGCCAGAGGTGGCTATAATGGGGTATTTATATGTCTTGAACCCTAAAAATTAGGGTTTGGCATCTGCTCACGTACGTTGCGCGTACGTGCGCACGCTCCCGCATCTGATGCATGCCTCTACGCCCCGCGTACACCAAGGCTATGCCCAACGTACGTCTTATGGGCGGCCCAAATCCTTGGCCCCTTTGCTTAAGTCCAATCCAATAGTCCTTTTATCTAATATGGACCCAACTATAATTTTTAGGAAATAATAAATAATTGATACCTCAAAGTCGGTCGTTACAATTTGAGCTAGTTTCTCCATGTTGTGATGTTTTGAGAGGTTATCTGTAATAAAGTTTGCAACTTTATTACTCGCTGAGGTCCCAAGGGTGTTATATATGTTTTAGATCTGGACTCACTTGTTTTGGTGTGATACATGGGGTTTGACCCCATTTCTCACCATTTTGACCTAAAATGGTGTGGGACATGCATTGGGCATGCATGTCTATAAAGTTATGATATTTATGAGTCATAGGAGTAAAATAAGGCCTTTCATAAAGTATGAGACTTGGACGTTAGATTAAGCAAGTAATCGATTAAGTGGTTCACCAGCGAGACCACGGTGCGATAAAGGCCTGGCCGCATCGCGGTGGTGAGGAAGCCATCGTGATATGATGTCAGGACCACGACGCAATCGAGGGCTTGGCACGACGTGATGGTAGGTCATGGTTGACCGTTGACTGTCGACTTTTTGACCAGTTTCACTTTTGGTCAAACTTTGGTAGAATTAAGTATATGACTAACGACATTGCTGAAACAACTATTGAGCTCATGTTAAGTAGTTCATGTGAGTCTTCTCACTATACTATGTAGGACATTTGATGTTAGTTGTCTTTATGACTCTTGCATGGATTGTGTGAAAGACCAAGATTTGACCTCTGGCAATTATATTAAAGACCAGGATTTGACCCCTGATAATTGTTTGAAATACTAGGATTTAACCCCTAAAAAATGTATGAAAGACGAGGATTTGGCCCTTAACAATTGTATCAAAGACTAGCATCCGACCCCTGGGAGGAAGTGTCCGTAAGACTATGATTTGACCAATAGCATTTACTTGGGGTTGAAATAGACCCGTTACTTTTTGTATGATTGTATGTGGTATCTTGGAGAACTCATTAAGTTTTGTGGTTACGATTTTATGTTTAAATTGTTTCAGGTTTTCTTATATTGAAGGAAAGGTGTGACTTGATTGTATCGCATCCTTTGGAGATTTTTCCGCACTTAATAACTCTTATGATTATACTCTGATAAATGTTTTGAATTTAATGATTTTACTAGATCTTGGAAATTGGAGTTGCAACAAATACTTTTAAATTTCTAAATGAAAATTTTGGTTTGAAATTTGGGACGTTACATTCCGTGCCAAATACGAACTATGCCTATAATTCAGATTTTTGAGAAAAAATTGTTTAGGAGATCGACTCGATCAAAACCCCTCTTATCCATTCTAGTACCATGACTTTAGTTTTCTATTGTTAATTTGATCAACTCTTATTTGTTTGTACGCGCGTACCAATATGTGGTACGAGGTAGTAAGTACTACCCCTCAAGTGTAAATTTAGTGAAAATTCGTTCAAATCTGTCACAGATTTGTCACAAAGTCCAATAAGTAATTTTAGTGTTAATTTGTCAACAAAACCTTTTAGTGACAGATTTTATGATAGAAACTGATGTTAGAAATGAATTTTCTCTAATATTGCAACCCGAAAAAAGATTTGTACAACTCCTTAATTTTTCTTTATGGGTCCGCCGTTAAATTTGTGAGTCTAATAAATTCATTCTAGATATGAGTTTTGTTACTTATGTTTTGTGATATATATATATATATATATATATATATATATATATATATATATATATATATATATATATATATATATATATATATATATATATATATATATATATATATATATATATATATATATATATATATGGGCCTTGAAGTTTTATCAAACTCTTCTTTTGGTTTTCTTTTAGGGAAAACTAAAAACCCCATACATTTTAACTCAATACTTAAAACAACCCTTATATTAATTTTGTGCTCAATTTAACCATTATCAAAGTTGATCTATCCCGTTTTTAGCTTATAACCGGTTGCAATTTAACAACCGGTAACATAACCAAAAATAGATTAAAAGGTGTGGCTGCTTGAAAATCATCATCTCGTTTCTCTTTGTCTTCTTCCTTTACATAACTGTAGCAGGAAACCATAGATTAGCCGTTCTTCTCAGTGTACATAACGTAACTGGTCAGTGGAATAGAAACCATCGTTGGACTGGTATACAAATGGTGTGGACTGTGGAAGAATAATGGGTTACGCCGCACTTGGAGTTGGACTGCCGTTGGCCGCTGCTCATCTCGACGACCTGTATAATCAACAAACTCCTCCGGCTAACACTTACAAATGGCGCTTGTTTATCTTACGATGGCACTCGATTCTCCGGTTTCCATTTGCCTTTCTTGAATTCCCCGATTACTTTCTCTGTCATGATAAGTGAAACCAATTTCATTCTTCGTTTCTCCTATACCCTAATTTCTGCCCCATTGAATTTCCCAATTACTCTATATATCTATTATCTCCCGCATCTCTTTCTATCAATCTTCGATATCTTTTTCCTTTTTTTCAATTTTGATTGTTGATTATGGCTGTAATTATCAGGTTGGCAGTATCAACCATCAACGCCAACCTTACAGTGCCTCTTGGAACAAGCCCTAACTCGAGTTACAAAGCTAGAACGTAAGGATCTGTGTGCAGTCGGTGTAAGTAGAACCGACGCCGGAGTTTATGCCTTCGACCAGGTCGACTGCCTTCCATCATACGTTTGTTGTTGATGTTAGATTAAAGCTTGAAACATGATTTTATCTTTTTTCAGGTGGCACAGTTTGTTACACCATTTAATTACAAGGATCTGCATGACATGCACGCAACACTGAATGGTCTTCTTCCTCTTGATGTTCGAATTCGAGAAATCAACCCTGCACTCCTCGACTTCCATGCTCGTTTTTCAGTCACCGGAAGGATCTACCATTACAAGATTTATAACGACACTGTCTTGGACCTATTCCATCGTCTCTATGCTTATCATAAACTTTCCGAACTCAATGTATTTGTCATGAAAGAAGCAGCCAAGTATTTTGTAGGGCAACATGATTTTTCTTCTTTCGCCAATAAACAATGCAATGATCGCGTAGTCAATCCAGTAAAGAATATATCTTGAGTTGATATAATCGAAAAGGACTAAAATTTTTGACTTTTTTTTTATCAGATGTCATGTTGACTATAATTTTTTTTTTTTTTCAGGGACCCATTTTGCAGGTTGAAGTTAAAGAGGAGATTTCGGATTTTGCAGGTTATGTATGTTTGTTTGCGGCTTAATTGTACATTTTGTTTAAGGCTTAATTGTGCATTTAGAAATAACATCTAGATTCTAGTAACAATATGATACTTAACCATAATGAGAATTCATAAATATTTCTCAACAATACCCATATAGCCATTATTGAAGGTGGGAGTCGAATAGGAGGTAGGATTAACACTTCAGAATTTGGTGGTGACAGAATTGAAATGGGTGCTACTTGGATCCATTGAATTGGGGATAGCCCGGTTCATAAAATAGCTCAAGAAATCAATTCCTTGTAATAAGACAAGCCATGGGAGTGTATGGATGGGTTTCTTGATGACCTAATCACCATAGCTGAAAATGGGTACGTGTTAAATCCATCTCTTGTTCACCCTATTTCAAATCTCTTCAAAAATCTAATGGATTTTGCTCAACCAAAAAGGAAATCAACTCTGGTTGGAATCGGGAATGGTGGAGATGGGATTGTGAATATGAGTGTTGGTTCATTTATTAGAAAGGTCTTGAAGATTACTGGGAAATGGAATCAAGAAAGGAGAAAGATGAAGTGAATGAGAATAAAATGGGGTTTCCTTTCTCTCACCGGATAATGTACTTATGTTAGACGGTTTAAAATTTAATAATTGAGCACAAAATTAATATAAGGGTTGTTTTAAGCATTGATGTAAAATACATGGGGTTTCTCTAAGGTTTTCCCTTTCTTTTATCATTATTGCCATTAATATTGCTAAAAGAAGAAATAAGTTAGAAAATAGAAGGAAGGGAGGGATCTGAGAAGAAAGATAACACAACCAATTAAGTACGTACAACTATCATTTAAGTAGTCAATCTTGTCACATCCACATAAAAAATGGCAAGGGATGGATTCAAGATAGGTACACACCAAGCATTGAAGTACATAAATAAGATAGCAGCAAGATAATATTGTAGCTAGGTATCTCTAAAATTACTAGCTACTAATTAATAAAACAACTCCTTACGGATAGGCTTCCTGTTAATTTTAGGGTAGTCCACAACCACAAGCAGAGTCCCACCATACATGTTTGCCGCCTGGTAGGAATCTATCACCATCTCTGTTTCTGGCGGTGCTTGTTGAACAAAATATGTCTGCTGCGGTTTGTATTGACATGAAAACATCTGTGTTTGAGTTCTATATGGTGGAGCAGTTGCTGCTGCTGATGAACGCTTCGAGTTTTGCCCACGTGGGAAATGATCATCCAGGAGAGAAAACCCTTCAGCCCCAATCTTTTCCAGGTTGGTCTTTGCTTTTGAGTAATCTGACATTTTAGAATAAGGTGATTTAATTAACCACAAGAGAAGAAGTAGTATTTTGCTTATGGTGTCAATACCAGAGATCATATACATGTATATATAGAAATGTTAATGTAGCTCTTTAGTTAATGGCAATGTCCGTAATTTTTTATATTCTTCAACTTTTTGGTTTTTTGGAAATTAATATCTTAGTCAGTGGTATCCGATGTTGTCCTCCTTTCTCGAAGTGGAGGGTTTGAGTCTTATTGTGGACATTTAGAATAATTTAAGAATTATTTAGTATTTGTTGTTAAAATTATAGTTTAAAATTTCGTAAATGTGTTTTTTCAGTACTTACATATTCAATTTAATAATATTTCATTCTTTATTGTGATTTTCATTTCTTTGTTATATCAATATACGTACAGGACATATGTATGTGTAAATATTTTTAATAACATGTATTAGATCGATTTAATATATTAGGAATTGTTGTTCTCCTTCTCCTATTTCTGCAAAATCTCTTTAATTAGGTAATTATCTAAACAAAGTTCATAATAACTGCTTTAGATTAGGGAATATCTAAAATACAAAAGATAATATATAAAGAGGACTAAATAATTAATTAAGATACAGTCTGAAGTGAATCAGATTTGATGCAAATATAAAGTTGTATCAGATATATCATTTCAGATCCTTGATTATCTATAAAATTTATTAGTTAAGATACAAAGCCAACGAAATTGGTAAAGGTCTATTATTCTCTTGAGTGCGTGTTTGTTTAAAATAGAAACTTCAAAAGATATTTGAATTTATTCCTTCCAATCTTATAGTTTAATCATGATTCTTTCTCCATTCGTAGTGGAGTCTTGGAGATTCCCCTCAATCATTTACATATATAGTGACGTATCCTCTCGTGACGTATCATATCACATGTCATGCATGCTGCCTTGTTGAATTTCCATTTATTTTTGAGATCAAAGAACATGCCATCATCGTTCTCGAGAAAACACTAAGAAGATGGACAGATGGGTTCCATGGCTTCATATTGTAGGGCTTTGTTTTAAAAGTTCATCGATAACGTCGTGCTTTTTAAAAGTTTCCGAAAAACATTTCGATGATTCATTTTTATGATTATTTTGTTTATATTCACCAAAATTGTCATGAAAGTGAATTTTGTTCTTGATTTACCTAAAAATGAATCATGAATATATTTTTTTCGGAATTTTTTCTTGTGAATCATCTTACTTTTGAATCATTTAATGATTCATTTCATTTTTTGTTAAGAAAATATGTATATAAAAAAATTTCTTATCTTCCTATAAAAATTTCATTCTTATTTGATTTTGACTATATATATATATATATATATATATATATATATATATATATATATATATATATATATATATATATGGAAAAGTGAATATATATGGTTGTCATGTATGTAATATTAGATATAGAACCATCAAAATTGACTTCATTTTGATTAAATAAACACAATTTTTGACATTGTTAGTTTTTTCCTATTGCTTTTGAGATCATATTAGTTCAGATTTCATAATTTATCCCCAACATCTATGTATTTCGAATGTATTTTTTATATTAGATATCTAGTAGATTTCATAAATTTTCTTTGACACCAACCATATGTATACTTGCATGGTTCTTTTTGATTTGTTATTGGAAGAAGTTTATTGTGTTTCTAATGAAAAATTTCAATCATTCACTATAATTTTTATTATAAATTTGAATGTGAAGATTTATAGGTAGTTAATAATATATTCTTATACATGGTTTGTGTTGCAAAATTAAAAATTTAAAACTCCATAAAAGTATGTACAAAGCCTATCATCTAATCTAATAGAGAATACAAGAAAGATGGTAGAGAGATTTGATCGTATTTTGTTAAAACTATGTAGTTTTTAATGGTTCTATACCTAATATTAGGTACATGACAGCCACATTCCCTAAGCCTATATATATATATATATATATATATATATATATATATATATATATATATATATATATATATATATGAAAAAATTCGACGCACGTAAAAAAAATTAAACTAAAATGCAAGACATTATAAAATTTATAGATCAATCTGGCTATGTTTATTATAATCATGCAAATATTTTGACAAAAGAGTTAGAAGATTTATTATTTTTTCATCTAAGAATAAATCATTGGGTCGGATTTACATGGTGTCCTAGAGTGACACCGGCAACCCCTCAAATTTTATTGTTAAGTGCAAAATTTAATACATATTCGTCAAAACCCGTCACAAATCCGTTACAATTTTGTCATAAATACATCAAAATCCATCACAAAACAGTTGGAAATTCGTCAAATTAATTCCTAATAAATGTAACTTTAGTGCAAATATGTCAGCATAACCCTTTTAGGAAGGGTTTTGTGATGAAATTGTCGTCAAAAATGAGTTTTTTTAATAGTGAACATTTAAAAGATAGTGCAATGTAACATCCCAAAATACAATCTAAAATTTTTTGTTTAATAATAACTAAAAAACATCATGTTAATATCATTAAGTAAAACTCGTACGTCAATATCTCAAAACAATAGCAAAGTATCATGAGGAAACTGTATCAAGACTGTATCAAATCACATCTATGAAAAGCTAAAACAACTCCTAGGACAAACTGAAGCTGTGGTGTGTGCGATGCCATCAACCCGAGCTCTTCCCTTTACTTGCGGAAGTACCTGAAACCAAAACTGAAACTGTAAGCACAAAGCTTAGTGAGCTCCCCCAAGCTACCACATACCATACAATAACATATAAACACATACTGGGCCTTGCCCACTGCCTCGGACCGAAGTCCGGAAACTGCATCGGACCGAATTTTGGAAACTGCATCGGACCGAATTTCGGAAACTAACCAGGGCCTTGCCCTCTGTATCGGACTGATGTCCGGAACTGACTGGGACCTTGTCCCCTGCATCGGACCGAAGTCCGGAGCTAACTGCATCGGACCGAAGTCCGGAAACTGTCTGAGCATAACCTGGAATGGCATAAACATATCAACTAGCATGAACACATAAACTGCATACTGCTTCGGGCCGTAGCCCGGAACACATAACACATAAATCCTGTCTGAGCCACGAAGGCATCAAACATACTGAAAACTACATCGGACCGAAGTCCGGAAACTACTACTAGCTAAACGGGCCAGCATTGTGGCCTTAGACTCGTTCCTACTGGAAGGAAACTCACCTCGTACACTGGCTGCTAAATGAACTGCTCTGGAACCCGTCTGCTGCTGCTCTGGTATCTCCCCGGCTATAATTTCCATAAATACATTCAATCAATTACTGATAACTGTACCGAGGGTAAAATGACTATTTTACCCCTGGTCAAAGCCAACCTCCAGTTGACCGGACTTGCCGAGTCTGAGGAACTACTCGCCAAGTTATGCCGTGCAGACTCCAACTACACTCGAATCCACTCTATGGTTCCTAACTCGTAGATCTCAAATCTTGGAACCCTCTGAACACGTAAAGTTGCTAACTTTACGTGTAACTACGAAGGAATGAAACCATACTACTCAAACACAACTTCACTTGGGAAAACTCATCCGACTCGCCGAGTTACTCATACAACTCGTCGAGTTCTAAGGCAAACTTCATCGGACTCGCCGAGTTGTTGTTCCAACTCGTCGAGTCGACGACTAACTTCATATAACTCGCTGGGTCGCCCTGAGGACTCGCCGAGTTCATTCAGCCTTTTTCCCATACAGGTCCGATCTGAGCCATGCAGCTGCTACAAATCATGGATCTAGACTTCTAGGGCATGTTTTTCACGTAAAGTTGCTAACTTTACGTGCATGCATGGCTTTAAAGGCTTCATATGACCAAAATAAGCTCTTAATAAGGTTCTAGGCTCAATGGGGACTTTAATCACAACCACACCCAAAACTTTATACTTCTAGCATACCATGAGTGTCCAAATCTGAGG